TAGACAATTGTTGGTGTTAAATTCACCGAACATAAAGGTAATTTCCTGCAGGGACACAATTAAAGGGATTATGGTATATATTTCTTTCCCTCCTGAATGGATAGTGGGGTTTTTTTGTTTTTTGTACAGAATAGGCAATTAATCCATAAAACAGTCCCTTGAGGTTATAGTCTCAAGTCCCCTTATCCTTCCCCAAAACAGTAAATAAATTAAAACCCAGCAGAATAAAACAAATAAATGCAATTTGTTTTTGCTAATATGGGAATTGCCGTATTCAGGGATATCCCGCCCACTTTCAAAATTTTTAATGCAAAGTTAACTGAGTTGCAATCTCCCCCCCCTTCAAAAAAGTAAAGCCAGAGGATTTCACTGACCTGCCTGTTTGTTATGTTAAGAGTAGGGGTGTTCCACCTTGGCAACTTTAAGACTCGTGGACTTCAACTCCCAGAATTCTGAGAGTTGAAGTCTTTAAAGTTACCTAAGTTGGACACCCCTGTGTTAAAAGTAATCATATTTGAAAAAGTTGGTGTCTGTTTTTATTGACTTTTCTCCGTTCAGATGGGTTAATCACAAGCACAGCAAATTTTTGGATCATGTTGTTAGCCAGCCAAGGAAACGTATTGGAAATATTCATAAAAACCCTGCCAATTTATTTACTAAAACAAGAAAATCTCCAGAAACTCCAAAAACTCCATTCGAGATTTGTTGACGGGGGGAGAAAAAAACTAATACAAAGTCATGTGGATGGGTTATTTTTTTTAAGTGCTGTTTCTTAAATAATAATAATAATACTAAATGCACACGAAGTGTTAAATATGTATATACTGTATTTCAAAAAAAAAAAACTTAAAAATCCTACAAAATGAACGGGGCACAAGATTGTTTTACAAGTCGTGCTGGCTACTTTTTAGTTTCTAAGTGGTTTTTAAAAGCCTTTTTTAACGTGTAATTTGCATGTTCTACTTTGATTGTATGTAAACATATTTTAGAGCAAAAATGTATTTGTATTTTATTGAATATAGAGGCGAGACGGGGAAAAAAAACTTGTACATTTGTTTGAAATGTTCTTTTTGTAACGGTTTTTATTCATGAAGCATTTTTGTACATTTAAAAAAAAAACGGATATGGACTTTGTTGTTATTTGAAAGTTAGGTACATCTGGCATGCTGAAATGTCATGCTTTTTTCATAATTGTAGATGTTGGTTTTTAAACAATTTTTTTCTAAAAAGGAGCTCCAGTCTTCGCTACCAAATCAGGTTAGCCCAGTTTAGAGCACTTAACTATTAAAAGGAAACAAGGGGGGAAAAAAGAGGGGAAAAAAAAGTTAATCCTATTCATATGTTATTCATTGTGTGAAATTAAAGGAATCCAAATCAGTCTGTTAAGTTGTGAATTCTTTTGTCTTATTTTTCCATCTGGTTCACATCAGTTTTAATAGCTCTAACAGTAAAAATGCATATGGGCACCATGTCTTTATTTCTTTTTTTCTTTTTCTTTCTTTTTGTGGTCGTGGATAAATCTGGTTTTCGGTTCTTTTCTTTTCCTTTGCCTTTTGAGCCCTTAAAAAAAAAACGAAATGTTTCTTCGGGGAAGGAAAATGGTAGCATGAACCTCTCCCCCCCCCCCCCCGAGAACTGAACTGTGGCGAAATCCAGAACACGGATTTCTTTGGCTTCGATGCCCCACTCGTTTTATGCGCCTTTCTACTCAATAAAAGCGCAATGGTTCGGGGGTTTGTTTTGATTTTAAACTTTACAACATTCCCCTTTCTTCCCGAGAGCAGCTCCTGCAAAACCGGTAACAAATTTTGTAAATTTGTTACGCGAATTTGTAATTTCAGAGGCATGGCGCAAAAGGAAGTAGGATGAAGAGGGAAGAAGACAACTTGAGCCTTGAGTCATGAAATTTGTTCTGGTTGAAACTAGAAGTTTTAATTCGCGGGAAACCCATATTTGTTGGTTGCTGATCTGCAATGCCATATTACGAACATAGGTAGTTTAAAACGGGGGTTCCCAACCTTTCGGACCTCAGGGACCACTGAATTCATAATTTTAAATCCCGCGAACCACTAATATGATCTGGCTAATGATTGGCTGGATGGGTGTGGCTAGGTGGTCATGTGGCTGGGTGGGTGTGGCCAACTTGATGTCACTCGTATCAAAGGGTACCTTGGTCTCTACTCAACCCTCCCACCCACTCCTTGCCTGTCCGCCCGGGCTCCTTAGGGCCCCAACAGGAAGCAGTTGCTGGAGCTAAGCAGCCATCATGAGAAAGAGTTGGCAAAACAGCTCAGTTCTAGT